TGTGTAACATTCATCAAGCCCCGCGGCAGCGGGTCCCTCCCGGCCCGCCGGTGCCGGCACTCACCCGAGCACATCTGGCCCTTGAAGCGGACGCAGGAGAAGTCGTCGCACTCGCAGTACTTGCCGCTGACCTTGCCGAAGTCGCTGCTGTGGCACACGCACTGCCCGCAGATGCACTCCCCGCGCTGGCTGCACAGCGGCTGGCCCGGCCGGGGGCTGCAGTTGTCCTGCTGCGAGGGGTTGTACTCCTGCTCCGAGCACTCGCAGTGCGAGCCCAGGCGCCCGGCGTGGCAGCGGCACACCCCGCACTCCAAGGTGCCGTTGCCGCGGCTGCAGGACGGGCTGCGGGGCTCGGCGCGGCTCTCGCAGGAGCAGTCGCAGTCGAAGGTCACCTCCACGCTCAGGCTGTCCTTGAAGCCCACGGGTTTGATGGTGAAGGATTTGTGCCGCTCCTGGGGGCAGCCCCGCACCTTGGCCTCGATGCTGAAGCTCACCTGGGTAAAACGAGAGGATGCAAAAAAAGGAGCCCCAGAGTCACAGACACATCCTCATGGGGGTACAGTCAGTGCTCTAGTTTATTCCAAAAACACACACATTATCAAGGGTCCTACAGGGTTCACACACTCTATTCTAACTTTCTATTGCTTACATTCACTTTCACACACTATAACTTTATTGGCTCTACTAGCCAAGGCACATTTCCAGGCCCCCCCATCTTCTGGTTTCTCACACCCTGGATAACATCCTCGTTCCTTGTTTTCCTCTATGCAGCTTTCTGATTGCTGCTCAAGGACACACATCTGCTGCTGGAGAACACAGGTCCCTGCTGTCTGACATGCAGGCTGGATTATGCAAGCAGGCCTGAAGCAGAATGTTATGTCCTGCATCATCTAAGATACTCTCAACACCTGGAGGGCAGAGGGGTGTGGCTGGGTGTCAGTGCCACCAGTGACAGGGACAATACAGGTATTGGGGTACCTGCTCCAGGCCATGCCCAAGCTTGATGTGATAAATAAATAATTGTGATTCGTGAAACAAATGGGTGATTACATCAAAATAAAACAAATGGATTGTGAAACTCAATTACACCCCCATAAAGAAATAAAACAGACCCTTACAAGGTCAAGGGGCCCTAAAACTCCCTACTATCCTAAAAATAAAATATGGTTTTTAGGTGCCTGTTTGTCCAAGAACGCATGAATTGTGACTGGTTGTAGGGATAACCCTTTTAGCTTTAGCTGTAAGAAACCCCATATATTAAATACTTAGCAAAAACCTGTATATAATATAATTAATAGGCATGAAGTAGCTAAGATAAATACTAAATGTACCCTGTAGAAGGCGTGCAGATTTGGGAAACTGGTCCCCATTTCTGTCACCCAGCCGGCTGCTTGTTTTTACCATATAATAAACTCTTATTCAAAAACTTATAGAAACTGGAGACTTTGTTTATCACATTGAGGAGCTCAGAAATAGGGTCTACCAGGTCTCTTTGGGCTTATCAAAGCTGCCCCAGCATGGTTTGGGCCAGGGCACCTGCTCTGCCACAGTAACCAGGTGAATTTTTAGATTGGATATTAGGAAAAAGTTGTTCACTGAAAGGGTGGTCAGGCATCGGAACAGGCTGCCCGGGGAAGTGTGGAGTCACCATCCTTGGAAGTGTGCAAGAAATTTGTAGTTGTGGTGCTCAGGGACGTGGTTTAGTGGACCTGGCAGTGCTGGGTTAGTGGCTGGACTCAATCTTAGAGGTCTTTTACAATCTGAACAATTCCAGGATCCCATGCACTGTGGGCAGCAGCCTGGGCTGAGCTACAGGACCGCAGGGTCGGCATCCAGGAGGCTCAAAACGTTTTCCTGCTTGCACCCACCCCACTGGACCCCCTCTCTCCACTGCTGAGATCCCAGAGTCCGTGTCACCGGGGAGGTGGTGGGACAAGCAGGCAGTGCTGGTGCAGAGCATCAGACACTCTGGCAGCACTGCTTGGTGGAGGGGGAGGAAGGCCAAGCCCACGAAGAGGATCCTCACCGTGTCCCCGATCTTGAGCCCCACGCAGGACTTGAGCCCAGGGATGACCTCGTCGTTGAGGCAGGTGGCGTTGAAGGCCAGGGACAGCTCCTCGGGGAGGTCCCGCACCTCCAGCTCCACCTTGGAGCGGATTTTCTAGGCAAGGAGAGAGCAGTGATGAGGACACAGCACTGGGGAGGGCTCAGACCCAGGGAGGGTCCCCCCCAGCACCACAGGACAGGAGCCAAGTGCTCCAAGTCTCTCTCAAGGCTCGGCTGCATCATTCCCTATGTCATTGCCTCAAATGCCTTTGAGGATGGAAAGGGGCAGGCAGTGAACACAATGATCTCCCTTCCTTGCACATATGGGTGGAGACAGATGCTCACAGCTGGGCCAGGGAGGGTGCTCAGGGCTGGGGGGGCTGCCAAATCTGTGAGGGCTGTTTGCAGTGTGAAGCAGGGGCTATTTTGGGAGGCAGAGAGCTCTTGTGGGGCCAACACATCACACACTTACCCCATAGGAGTCCACGATGAGCTGCAGGACGTTGCTGGAGTCTCTGGACAAGGTGCCCACGGTTGTGCCTGGGATTAGCTCACTGTAGTTCTGGAGAAATACCATAAAGGAGGTCTGTTTGTGGTGGGTGACTGTGCCATGGCTGGGCCAAACCCCACCCAGGCACACAGGAGCTTCCCAGGGAGCTTCAGTGGGACAGGAGACCACCAAGCCATCTCCAGCCACCCATGGCTGGCTCCTGGGGACCCTCCAGCCCCCCAAAAAGGTGTCTGCACAGCAGCTGGTACCTGGTAGAGGCCAACAACTGTATCTGTCACAGCAAAGATCAAGTTGATGTTCTTCTGTGAGAGTTTCTCAGTCATCAGGCCCAGAGAGGGATAGTCCTGGGGAAGAGGAGAGGTTATCCCCTAGGGACATGTACCTCCACCACCCAGCTCTCCAGCCCTGGCTGGACCACCTTTCCCATCCCGTGGGGACCCAACAGGAGCTCTGGGCTCCACAACCCCACTCCTGGGCCGGGATTTACCAGTGTGGTGCTGGCAGAGTAGAAATTATCCTTGCCAATGTGGCACTGGGCGTCGTTGGGCTGCACGATGCCGGCCAGCCGCCCATCCAGGGCGATGTGGGTCTTGGCGTCCGTGGTGAAGACGAGCAGGTGGGAAGCATCATTCCTCCAGCCAATCTTCTCCTGCGGTGAAAGGAGCTCCCAGTTACGTGCCAGCACCCTGTGCCAGCGCCCCACTGCTGCCTTTGTGCCACCCCGGGGCGTGACTTGGCCGT